GTGCACACACCGGCTCTCAGGAGGGGTTAGAAGGTCGTCCTGCGCGGTGCGCAGAGACGGTGGCTGTGCCTTGAACGTGACAAGTAGGCTTCCCTGGTCACCCGGTGAGAGCGTTTCAGCTGAGCAGCGGTGAAAACCGCATTGTGCTCGGCTGAGAAGTGCGTAGCAAAGGGCAAAACAGAAACAAATAAATCCCGCAACGTGACCATGAAGGAAAGTATCGCAAAGTGGAGGTAAGGCTGATTTGTTTGTTTACTGTAAAAAGAAGAAACACGCCGGGGAATCCTCTAAGGAAGGAGAGACACACCATGTGAGGAAAGGGCCTTGTGCAGGGGTGGAGAGCAATGGATCTGAAAGATGCCTAGAAGGAGCTGGACTTCAGCTCAGCAGCAAACTGCATGGCCGGCATGTGTGAAGCCTGGGGTTCGATCCCCGGCACCGGGAGGAGGACGAGGAGGAAGAGGAGGAGGAGGAGGAGGAGGAAGGGGAGGAAGAGACTGGCTTCTGATTCAAACCTGGAGGACACACTGATAAATAAGGGGAAAAGTTAAACATGCGAGCAAGAGCAAATACACTGAAATTGGAGGATATGGGAAGATGTGTTTAATAAACAATAACTGTAAAGTAGCATTTATGATAGGTATAAGGGGTAAAATACATGACAACTGTGGATCTTAAAATATTCAGTTAGCTGGGCATGGTGGCCCACACCTGTAATCCCAGCACTCAGGAGGCTGAGGCAGGAAGATCACTGCAAGTTCGAGGCCAGCCTGGGCTGCAAAGTGAGCTCAAGGCCAGCCTGAACTGCATAGCGAGACGCTGTTTCAAAAAGACAAAAAAAAAAAAAATTTAGTTAATGTGAAAGAAGTCATAAAAAGAAGAAAAGAGGAACAAAGGGCAGGTGAAACAAGAAACAAACATCAAGATAATAGGATTAATCCATTAAATATAAATGGCCTAAACAGCCCAATTAAAAACCAGAAACTGGCTGGGTGTTACAGCGCACACATGTGATCCCAGCAGTTGGGAAGCAGAGGCAGGAGGATTACTACAAGTTTAAAGCCAGCTTAGGCTATATAGTGAGTTCAAGGGTAATCTGAACTACATAGTGAGACCTGTCTAAAAAAATTTTTTTTTGAAGCAGAAACCGGCAGATTTGCTAAAAAGCAAGAGAGAGACAAAAAGAAGACAAAGCAAATAAGATAATATAAGTGGTGTTGCCATGATGAATGAGGAAACTGATGACCAAAAAATACTTCTAGAAAGAAATGACTTTGGCGTGCATACCTGTAATCTCAGCACTCTGGGAGGCTGAGGCAGGAGGATAACTTTGAGCCCAGTCTGGGCAATTTAGTGACCTAGCAAGACATTGTCTCAAAACACAACATGCAAAAAAGGACTGGGGATGTAGCTCAGTACAAAGGCCCTAGGTTCAATCCCCAGTACCACCAACAGAAAAGAGAAAGAGAAAGGAAGAAGAAAGAGAGGAGCAAGGGAGGGAGAGGAGGGAAGGAGAGAGAAGGAAATCGGACTGTGTGCTAATCAGCAGCAGGGCTGGGCAGGGAAATGGTAGGAAAGGCAGATCCAGTGGGACTGGAAATTTGGAAAGATCAGCTGTATGTTTTGTTTATTTGTTTTCATTTGGTAGTACTGGGGATTGAACAAGAAGAGCAGTTTTAAAATAACTGCTGAAAGAAACCAGCAGATTCATCCCAGTGGTGAAGATAAGTGCCAGCCAGGTCCAGTGTGGGGCTGTGGCTTCGCGTGAATGTTGTGAGTTGTGATTGCTTAACGGGGCTCTCTGTGAAGTCAAGGCTCACCTGAAGAAAAGCTCGGAGCTGAAATTCAACAAAGTGTATAAGAAAATGAATCTGGCCTGTGGTCCAGATTCCCCTTCCTGGTAATTAACTTGAAAGCTAAAGCCACGCGTGTAAACAAATACTTTCGTATTCGTTTCGTATTCACCCAGGCTGGGCTCAAACTTATCCTCCTGCCTCAGCCTCCCAGAGCGCTGAGATTACAGGCATGCACCACCACTCCAACTGGACCCACAAACTCGAAGGTGTAGCGTTTAGAAGACCAATAAGGGGAAAGTGTGAGTCCCTCCCTGCCCCCTGTCGGGCCCTCCCTGCCCCGTCAGACCCACACCTCTGGCAGGACTTCCGGCCCCAGGCCAGCACCACTCCGCCCTGTCACTCAGGGCCGCGGCATGACAGAAACGCGGCCTAGTTCTCCTTACCCTAGCCCCTCCACCGCTGCTGTATGGAAAGTCCCTCTCCGGCCTAGGTGCCTGTTCTCCCTGTCACCTCCCCTGTCTCTGGGTCTCCTCTCCAACACCTTGGGAACAGCCGCCCTCCCCACCCAGCAAGGCAAACCCTGCAGGGACTCCCAGCTCCCTGCTGCTCACCCCTGGGGCTGTGTCCTGGGGCCTCTGTGGCTACCCCGCTCTTTCAGCCCCAGCCCCTCCCTCTCTCATCCACCAGAAGACTCAGATTCACCGCAGCCCAGAACCAAGCACCGGCACAGCGCCCGCTCCTCCCGGCTTTCCAGCCTGCCCTAAAGTGGGGTCATTTCCCTGAGCCGCTGCGGAGGAATGGGCCAGCCGGGAAAAAGCAAGGAAAAGAAAGGCGATAAAATCTTCTGTGCTGGATCAGGGTGAGGCTGCCACTTCTCACAGTCTCTCTGCCCGCCTCTTTCTCCCTCCACAACCAGAGATCAGCCGCACTGCAGGCAGACGTACGTCACTGGGCCTGATTCATCCTCCCCTCTACACCAAAGATCAGCACACCAGACTCGGTGGGCAGTGTCCATCCCTTCTTTTTATGAATAAAGTTGTATTCAAACACAGCCATGCCCCTTTGTTCAGTGCTACCCGCGGCTTCTTTCCCACGCAAACGCTGGAGCAGAGTAAGTGCCGCAGAAACAACGCAGCCTGCTACACCTGAGGTGTTTATTTACTGTCTTGTCCTTTGCAGAGAAAGGTCTCTATTGCCCGCTTTTCTGCATTCAGAGGGAGTACAAATACCAAACGCCACTCCTGGCAAAGCTGTGCTTGGAGAGCCAACTCTTAAATACTCACCAGCACGCCACTAGAGCTCAGATATGGTTCCAAGCAGCCTGGCTGCATCCCAGCCTGTTTTATTTTATCTCCCCCCCCCCCTGGCATCGGAAATCAAACTTATGACCTTGCGCTTGCCAGGAAGGCGCTGCACCGGTGAGCTAAATCCCCAGCCCCCTTATCTTATTTTGTGATGGAGTCTCACTATATTGCTAAGTTGCCCCAGCTGGGCTCAAATGTGCGATCTTCTTGTCTCAGCCTCCCAAAGTCCTGGGATTACAGGCATGTCCCACTTTACCCAGCTAAAGTATGAAATATTATATAAGCATGAAAAATTGATGAAGCGTTTATTGTCAGTTCATAGGCACATTAAATATAAAATAAGTGGAAAGCAAAAATACAGTGGTAATGTCCACATTGCAACATATCGCTGGGTGTGGTTGCGCACGCTTGTAATCCCAGCACTCGGGAGGCTGAGGCAGGAGGATCACTGTGAGCTCAAGACCAGCCTGGGCTACAAAGTGAGCACAAGGCCAGCCTGAACTGCATAGCAATACCCGTCTCAAAAAGACCAAAAAGAAAAAAATATATCAACTGACATATGTATATTTTTTACATAAAAATTGTACATAAAAACAAATTGTAGAGAATAAAACAGAATTTGAAAGCTTAAGAAGTCACTTAGATAATTCTTTAAAAAAAGAGAAAAAACAAAAACTTAAACTGTTTGGGAGCAGCTCCGTGTTACAGCCACACATCCTCCTCACAAACTACCCAATACTCTCAGCTTTTCCATGTGGGGCGTCTGCACCCTCTTATAATCCCCAGGCCCCTTCCACACATAGGATGTGCCTTCTGGCTGGCCTAGTTACCAAAAAAGCTTTTAACGTTGTGTCTGAGGCTGGATCTGTGATCAGATGCAAAGATGTCTCTCACTGCTCCTTCCCTGACCAGTGTTTACCTAACACTACTGGCCGTACCTTCCTTCCTTCTTTCCTTCCTTCCTTTCTTTTTCTCTTTCTTTTTTTCTTTCCTTCCTTCCTCCTTTCTCTCTTTCTTTCCTTTTTCTTTCTTTCTTTTTTTCCAGGACTGGGATTGAACCCAGGGGCCTGCACGTATGAGGAAACACTCTCCCACTGAACTCCATCCCAGCCCTGACTTAATTCTTGAGACCCTCTGTTGATTTCCAAGACAGATCTCCTGCCTCAGCCTCCCAACTCTTTAATTTATCATCCTTCGTAGAAAGCCCTTTTGTGTTTTTCCCCTTGGTTGTCTATTTCCCCCCATTTCCAAGTAAAAGTATTCCAGAAAGTCTTTTTTAAAATTGACATGAGGAAGTTAATTTCTAAGCTTCCCTTTTTAATCCCAGCACTCGGGAGGCTGAGACAGGAGAATCATTGTGCGTTTGAGGCCAGCCTGGGCTACAAAGTGAACTTAAAGCCAGCCTGAACTGCATAGTGAGACCTTGTCTCAAAAAGACAAAAAAAGAAAAAAAAAAAGAAATGTATTAGAATTGGAAACACATCTGTTGTGAAAAATTGAATTACATACACCACACAATAGTAAGCACACAACAAATGTCTGTCACAGTGCTACGTTTGCTGCTGTCAATCCATCCAACACTAATGAACTTGCTTACTGCCCAGGAGTTTGCCTGTTTGGGAGAAGTTTAGTTTCGTTTGGATTTCCAGAGACGGCATCTTTGTACGTACTCTGGGCTGACCTTGAGCTCACTATAGAGCCCAGGCTGTCTTCAAACACATACTCCTCCTGCCTCAGCCTCCTGAGTGCTGGGATCACTGTCGTGCCCACTGGCACACGTAACATACATACACGGGGTGGTTGTGGTCTTATCCCAAACAAGGCGTGGAGGAGGTGTGAGCTCCTGCTCGGCCCAGCCCAGGTCCCGGACGCACTGGACCTGGATTTAGAACGTCCGTACCTCTGTGGAGGTCCTTGCGCGAGGGTCTTCTCAGCTTCCCCGGGGTTTGCTCCTTCTTCCTATAAGCACAGGTAGAATTGGGCTCAGCCGCACGGCCCTGCCGCAGGCAGCGGGGGTCAAAAGCAGCCAGAGACCTGCGGCAGGCAGAGCGGCCGCAGCACGGGCGGAACCCTGGCGAGTTACCGAGAGCTCCAGGCCCAGGTTGCTGATGCCCTGCTCCATCCTGGACAGAGCAACCTCTCTTCCGCTGGCTTCAGCCATCTTCTCTTCTCATCTAGAAAACAATTCAAGGCCGTGGCTGAAAGAGGGCTCCTTCTGTCCTGTGGGGGTGGCCAGACTTTTTAGGGCCACTTCCTGGCTGGGAACGCAACGCTGAAGTCTTTAAAGAAGCAGGGTGTGGGGGCACACGCCTGTAATCCTAGCACTCAGGAGGCCGAGGCAGGAAGATCTGCAAGTTTGAAGCCAGCTTGGGTTACAGAGTGAGTTCAGCACCAGCCTGAACTACATAGCAAGACCCAGATTCAAAAAATAAATAAATTAATTAATTAATTTTAAAATAATAAATAAGGGCCAGGGATATATATAGCTCAGTGGTATGAGTGCCTACCTGGCAAGCGCAAGGTCCTGAGTTCGATTTCCAGTACCAAAAATAATAATAATTAATAAATTCTTTTAAAGAGTTGATTTCTTTAAGAACAAGAGTGGGACTGGATGTGGTGCTGCATACCTGTAATTCCAGCACTTTGGGAGGCTGAGGCAGGAGGGTCACTTACCAATTCAAGGCCAGCCTGAACTACATAGTGAGAGCCTGCCTCAAAATAAAACCAAAAAAGGGGGCTGGGGATTTAGCTCAGCGGCAAAAAGCGCCTGCCTGGCAAGCGCAAGGTCGTGAGCTCAGTTCCCGGTACCGGAGAAAAACCAAAAAAAAATAAAAATAAAAAAAAAATAAAACCAAAAAAGACAGAACAAAAATTGATAAGACTGGGTGCAGAATTTTAGTATAATAAGTAATGAAAGGTGGAATTTGGTTTCTTATTCTTCATAGCCAAGGAAGAGGTAATAAGATAGAGGAGGAGGAAAGAAGGGCAGGGGAATTGGAAGGAACCAGGAGGACCCCCAGGGCTCCAGGGCTTGGGTTAAAAATGACCCCGTCGCTGAGGGAGGCTGAGACAAGAGGATCCCCATGAGTTCAAGGCCAGCCTGAACTACCCAGCAAGACCCTGGTCTTCAAACAAACAAAAAATGTCCCTGTTTACATCCTCCAAGGAAGGTTCCTGCTGGGTGTGACGGCTCAAGCCTGTAATCCCAGTCCTCTGGAGGCTGAGGCAAGAGGGTCACCATGAGTTCAAAGCCAACCTGAATTCCATGTGAGACCCTGTTTCAAAAAACAAAAACAAAAAAAGAGGAAAGGTCGAGCTGTGACAGCGCCTTTTCCCAGGGGAGGTCCCACTGCTTCGGGCTAGGTAGGAAGGAGACAGAGAAGGGAGCTGAGAAAATCGCGGATCCCAAATCACTGCAGAGAACAGAGAACCAGGCCTTCACCTTCCTGACGGCAGTGTGCACAGCGCAGGCAGGGCGCCGGCACGCAGACTGGTCGGCTTGAGCACCGGTGACCGCGGCGAAGGAAAGTTTTAAAACAAACGAAAGTGCAAGAAACTTAAGCAAACATCTGAGCCTCGATAAGCAAACCTAACACAGGGACATGCACGTTTAGGAGACAGGGTCGTTTTGAGGCGTCTTCTTACTACGCAGAAATTTTCCTTCCTTTGGACATTGCTCTTAAACACTGTGATCGCTCCCAATATTCCAACCGTAATTTCACTAAGCATCAATAGCTGGCTTTTATGGGGCTGGGGATTTAGCTCAGCGGCAAAAACACCTGCCTGGCAAGCACAAGGTCATGAGTTCGGTTCCCGGTACCGGAGAAAAACCAAAAAAAAATAGCTGGCTTTTAGCGAGTAAATGAGGGAACAGAACTAACTACCTGAATCTTGTCTCATTCTGACCCGTAAAGAAAACCGGCAAATCAGGGTCCCACCCGTCCCCACCCTTGCTTACCCCTCAGGCTGCTCCGCGGGACACTAAGGACGTGCTCTGCAGTGCAGGGTGGGCTGTGGATCCATCGGCTGCTGGGTTCCGGTCCTGTCTCCTCCTCTTTCACGTGCCCGTGCTCTTGAGGAGGAAGGGGACTCTCAAGTTAATGATTTATAGGTTTTTAGGACTCTCCAGCCCGTCTGAGAATTCTCCAAGAACTTCCACCAGGCACGCCCATCGCCCTCCGCTGGTCTGGGAACTGGGTGTATGTGAGAGAAAAGTCTCTGCCTTCAGAAACTCAATCATGCTGCAGGGAAAGACATTTCCTGGAAAATAATAGCAGAACTGGAAGACTCCTGGGAATCCCTTTATCAGTGCATTCGGTCAGTACTGCCAGCTTTTGCTGAGCGCCGGGGAGCTGTCTTGAGTGCTGAGGACACAGGCCACGTAACAATAGCTCTGTGGGACCTGGCGAAGCTCTGACGGGAGCAGTAGAACAGGATGGGCAGAAAGACAAACCTACAGGACTGGGTGTTCAGTCAGGCAAGGAGAGGATGAAGGAAGGGAGGGAAGATAATTTCTCAAAGCTGTCAGGGGCTGGGGGTGTAGCTCAGTGTAGGGCATATGTTTAGCGTGTGTGAGACCCTGGATCCAATCCTCGGCACGCGCGCGCGCACACACACATACACACACACACACACATTCTCCAAAAGATCCTGTTTCTGGCTGCTTCTACCCTCCAGTAATAAATACTTCCCTGTGCGCTGTGCCCCAGACACCCCATGCTCCCTTGCGCCCTTGGGACTTTGTTAGGGGACGAAGCCCTGGGACTATTAGTTGTTCATTCTGCCTCTGATACCCTGCCCTGAGTCACCTACCTAGGAGCCTCCTACGCTGCCTGCTGCGGGTCCTCGCAAAGCCTCTTCTGCAATGAGAGGCTGTGAGACCCCCGGATGAGACCCCAGACCTGTCACCTGCACACCCACCTTGCCGCGTTCTTGAGGAACTCGCCTCACTAGACAGGGGCGTTCTGGAGCGCCGGCTGCCTGCCTGCTCCCCAGTTTCCCTGGCTCGAGGGCTGCCTCTAATTAGGAAATCAGTAAATATTTGCAAAGGAAGTGCAAACAGCATCATCACCGCAACACTCCGGCTTAGATTATTTGGTATCAGAGGATGAGTCCAGTCACCAAAATAAGGACATCTATTTCCCTAGTCCCTTGTTCAAATGTGCACATTCACACGCGCACACGCGCACACACACACACACAATGAGAGTGTATACTGGATCATGGTCTAGGTCGTCTCCTTGGGCTCCTGTCCTGTCTGTTGCTATCTCACCAGATTATGGTAAAAATTAAGTAATTTAAATAGAAGAAATAGGGGCTGGGGATTTAGCTCAGCGGCACAGCGCCTGCCTGGCAAGCGCGACGTCGTGAGTTTGATTCCCGGTACCGGGGAAAGAAAAAAAAAACCTTAAATAGAAGAAATAGGCTGGGCGCGGTGGCACATGCCTGTAATCCCAGCACTCGAGAGGCTGAGGCAGGAGGATCATTGCGAATTCCTGACCAGCCTGGGCTACAAAGTGAGCTCCAGGCCAGCCTGAACTGCATAGCAAGACACCGTCTCAAAACGACTAAATAAATAAATAAATGAAATAATCTGGAAAGTTGTAGATGATCTTGTCATTGTGGGATAGTAAAAGATCCTGCTATCAGCTCTTCAGGAAAATAAGATATCAGTGTTGAGGGCCGGCCTGCTTCAGGCACTTGAAGGCTGATGTCTGACTGTCACCTCAGTGTGACTGTTGCTCATTCTCTGTCTGTCTGTCTGTCTCTGTCTTTCTATCTCTGTCTGTCTGTCTTTTTCTGTTTCTGTCCTTCTGTCTCTGTCTCGCTCTGTCTCGCTCTGTCTCCCACTCTCTCTGCGTCTCTCTTTCATTTTTACCTTAAGCATCTGTCAGTTCTGGAGCTCGGTCCAGGCAGAACGATAGGCACGGAGCACTTGTTCTGCCCAGGAGAATCCCAGCTATCACCCCTCTCCACTCTCCCCTCCCCTTTCCCTGTGGAAGGTATGAAATCCGTGTCTTCACCATCCAAGTGCAGACCACAGAGCTCATTTCACTTTCTCAAGAGATCCAGATGTGTAGCCATCTCGAGAAGGAGAATCACCCCAGCAGAAGTCTCCCTCGATGAATTGTTCAGACTCCATTGCGTGTTCTTTGTCTTACCTTGTACAGTTTTATGGATAAATGCTCTCAAATTACAGATCACAAAACACAAGGTGACCTACCCAGAATAGCTAGTTCAGTTCTCCTGGCTCAAGGTCCCACGACCCTCCATCCCAGCTGTCTGGGCAATGGCGGAAAAGTTAGTAAGAGATGCTAGGTCACAGCAGCCTGTTAAAAGACTTTCCCATACCCCCGTGTTCATCTCACAATATTCCTGTAAGAGTCGCAGTAAAGAAAGACAGTCTAACAGGACGTGAGCAACTTGTCTAAAGCCATACAGTTGGGTCAGAGCCACTCACTTCGGTGGGAGCAGGACCTGACCTCTGTTCTAGAGCCTGGAGTGACCCACGGGACCCAGCGAGGCAGTGAGCAGGCCAGAGTAACGGGTGGTTCTACCTTCCTGCTCTTACCCCTCCTTTGATCGCCGCAGAAGCAAGCAGCGCCTGAGAGATACAAGGACTTCCGGTTGGGGTCTTAAGGGAGGGGTCGGTTTTTCACTAAGCTTCCTGCTGCAAAGCCGAAAGGCTTGACAAGATGCATAAAGCATCAGCCCAAAGGTGTCACAGAGCAACCAACAGGGCCAGGACTCGATCCTGCACAGAAGGGAACCGTGAGACTTGTGCCCCACGTTTATCCTGGCTCCATTGTTGTTGCCATTGTTATTATTGTTATTATTATTATTATTATTATTATTATTATTATTATTGTTACCTCTGTTGTTATTTTTTCTGTCTTTTTGAGACAGGGTCTCCCTATGCAGTTCACGCTGGCCTTGAGCTCACTTTGCAGCCCAGGCTGGTCTCGAACTCACA